GTGCGTGGCGCGTAGCTTGTTGTGTGCTTGTGGTCCGTGCTGTGCCTGTGTGCTGTCGTGTGTGTGTGCTGCTGCTGTGCTGTGCTGCTGCGGGCGTCCGTCGCTGCGTACCGTGTGTGTGCTGCTCGTCGCGTCCCGCTGTGCTCGCCGCTCGCGTGCTGCTGTGTCCGTGCCCTGCTGCTGCGCTCGTCGCTGCTCTCGCTGCTGTGGTATGGCCGCGGTGTGCGTTGCGTGTGTGTGTGCGTGTGTGCGTGCGTGTGTGTGCGCGCGCGAGTAGTAGATGAGATAACATGTGTCGTCGTGCGTGCGTGCGTGTGTGTATGTGTGTGTGTGTGGTGCGTGTGTGTGTGTGAGTGTTGTGTGTGGCGTGTTGTGTGTGGCGTGTGTGTATGCGTGCGTGCGTGCGTGTGTACGCGTGTGTGTGCATGCATGCGTGTACGTGTGTGTGTGCGTGCGTGCGTGCGTGTGTACGCGTGTGTGTGCATGCATGCGTGTACGTGTGTGTGTGTGGCTTGCGTACGTGCGTGTGTATCGCGTGTGTGGGCATGCATGCGTGTAGTGTGTGTGTGGTCTTGCAGATGCGTTTGTACGTGTTGTGTATGCGTGGCGTGCGTGCGTGGTGGTACGGCTGTGTAATGCATGGCATGGTGTATATACGGTGTGTGTGTGTGGCGTCGTAAGTTCTGGCGTGTGTGCGTGCGTGTGTGTGTGCGCGCGGCGCGTGCGTGTGTGTGTGTGTGTGTTGTGCGTGTGTGTATGTGTGTGAACGTGGCGTGTGGTGTGTGTGTGCATGGCATGCGTGTACGTGTGTGGCATGCGTGCGTGCGTGCGTGAGCGCGTTGTGTACGCGTGTGTGTGCATGCATGCGTGTACGTGGTGTGTATCGTGCGTGCGTGCGTTGCGTGTGGTAGCGCGGTGTTGTGTGCATGCATGCGTGTATCGTGTGTGTAGTGGCGCCGCCGTGCGTGTGTACGGTGTGTGTGTGCGCGCCTGCGTGTGTGTACGGGTGTGTGTGCGCGGCCCGCGTTGTGTACGTGTGTGTGGTGCGCTCCCACGTGTGTACGTGTGTGTGTGCGCGCCCGCGTGTGTACGTGGTGTGTGTGCGCGCCCGCATGTGTACGGTGTGTGTGTGCATGGCGCGTGTGTAGTGTGTGTATGCCGTGGCGTGCGTGTGTACGGCGTGTGTGCTTGCGTGCGTGCGTGTGTACGCGTGTGTGGGCTTGGGTGCGTGGCGTGCGTGTGTAAGCGTGTACGTGTGTGCGCGCCCGCGTGTGTACGCGTGTGTGCGCGCCCGGCGTGTGTACTGGGGTGAGCGTGTGTGTGTGCGCCGCGTGTGTACGTGTGCGCTTGCGTGCGCCCGTGTGTAGCGTGTGTGTGTGCCGCGCCGCGTGTGTACGTGTGGTGGTGCGCGCCCCCGGGACGCGTCGTGTAGCGTGTGCGCTTGCGTCATGCGTGTATAGTACGTGTGTGTGTGCGCGCCCGCGTGTTGTGCGCGGTGCGAAGAGATAGGTATGTAGGTAGGTAGTTACCATAGACAACCACGTGAAGAGATAGGTATGTAGGTAGGTAGTTACCATAGACAACCACGTGAAGAGATAGGTATGTAGGTAGTTACCATAGACAACCCCGTGAAGAGATAGGTATGTAGGTAGGTAGTTACCATAGACAACCCCGTGAAGAGATAGGTATGTAGGTAGGTAGTTACCATAGACAACCCCGTAAACACGCGTAACTGTGTGAGCTGTGTGGAATAATAATGGGCAAGCCTTCAGTCTGTTGCTATTAACACAAGACCGTAGCTAGCTAGGGGTATCGCAGTGGCTAGGGGTGGATACTATTATATGCTCATTAGCCAACCGCAGCCCTGTCCGCATCCCTCCACAATCTCTCCAGCATCCCTGCCCGCAATCTCTCCAGCACCCCTGCAGCATTCCTTCCGCAATCTCTCCAGCATCCATGTCCGCAACCTCTCCAGCATCCCTACCAGCATCCCTGCCCGCATCCCTCCGGAATCTCTCCAGCATCCCTGCCCGCATCCCTCCGCATTCTCGCCAGCATCCCTCCGCAGTCTCTCCAGCATCCCTCCGCATCCCTGCCAGCATCCCTCCGCAACCTCTCCAGCATCCCTGCCTGCATCCCTCCGCATTCTCTCCAGCATCCCTGCCAAAATCACAGTTTTCGCATCAATAGCAACGAATGGCGAATTCTATCGCAGCGAGAAATCTGACTCTGAAGCTGCTTCAATGGTGAAGGGGCTTCACGCTAGTTGCTCGCTGGTGAAAGGGCTCGCACGCACGCACGCGCACGTACGTACGCACGCACAAGTACGTATGCACGCACACACGGAAGCACGCACGCACGCAGCAGCAGCGCTGTATCGGCCACACGACCAGCCGTGTGTATATACGTACATACTCGTGAAGTGTAGACGTCACGCATACGTCACGCATACGCGTCACGCCTACGATCAGGAGTATAATTTTATATTATTCACTCCTGACACAATGTGTTATCCACGCGTATGTGCCATTTATCACTATTCATGTATCATTCAATATATAGCGCATACAATTGTAACTAAACTTCAACTGTGTTGAGCGAAAACAAAAACTGTACTTATACAATCAAGAGCGCATTAACCCGCTAATTGTTATAATGCGCTCTTGGTTCAATGTAATCTTTCTCTACGTATCACGCACTACAATGTGCGTACAATCCGTTTGTAGGTATCAGCTAATATAGAGTGCATAAAATGTGCTCTGCTTGTGTATTTACCATGTACTATATATTGTATATAGAAAAAGGAGCTTATTAACTATATTTATCATTCGTGTTAAGTTTATAATATATCAAGAGTAGGCCTAGGTTTAATAGAGACTCTATGATGTACTCCTCTAATATATATCTCGTATAACGCCGTGTGTTAATCTATGTGTCATTTAATGTAGCGTACATAATGTATAACGTAGTATATATGTATATGTAGCGTATATAATGTATAACGTAGTATATATGTATATGTAGCGTACTAATGTAGCGTATATAATGTATAACGTAGTATATATGTATATTGTACAATCGTCTTCCGTGTGGTGTATTCATTCGTTCGTCGGTTGAGAGTGAGCGAGGTGTCAACCGCAGGGTGTCAACCACAGGGTGTCAACACTGGGTTGTATGTGTGTGTTATATCATAGGTTCCAGATAAGTATCTACTCCTCTCCACCCATACACCCAACCACTACACACCTTAAAGTGATTACGTCAGCGTAAATAGTAATAAAAACATATATTTCCACTTTTTCACAAAATATAAGTAATTCTGTTCACTTTTTATGGTTAAATTGCTGCATTATACTTCCTGTCGCTTTTTCACAAAATATAAGTAATTCTGTTCACTTTTTATGGTTAAATTGCTGCATTATACTTCCTGTTTTACTATATTGTTCGATGTGAACATACACTCGTGGTCAGGAACGTAATCTCAAATCGTCCAGGTTTTTTTGGATTTTTAACTAGTTGAGAAACAATCTTATCAGGTAAAAATTTGACGATACGTTTAGTACCGTCAGTTCTAACTTTTAATGTAAAAAAATGGCAAATTTTTTTTTACAAATTTTACGATAGAAAATTCGTGACGTAGTCAATTTAACCTTCACTCCACCACTACACCTCCGCCATACACCCCCAGCCCAACTACCCCGCACACAAGCAAATGAAACACGCTAGAAGGAGGGGAGGAGGGTATACGTGTCGTGTAGTAGCGATGAATGCGAATGAGCTCACTGAATTCCACACCTGCGCCGGCAAGATATCGACATCCTAGCAAACGAGCTTTCGAGCCAAAAAAAACGATTTCCATACACACGCACGTATATGTGTATATATATATATATATATATATATATTCGCAAAAATTCACTTATTTCGCTATACAGAGAATACAGAAGAACAAAAGCGGACCTGATGTAGTCACACACAAACACGCGATGCAACATAGCTCGACAAGTCAGGAAATAAACAGCGCACGTGCGTGCGTACGTGCTCTATACACACTCTCGTATACTCGTGAATAGAGTTGTACTCAAGAGAGGCGTCAGAGAGAGGCGGGGAGAGAAAGAGAGAGAGAGGGGGAGAAACGAGAGAGAAAGAGAGAGAGAGAGAGGGGAGAGAGGAGGGAGAGAAAGAGAGAGAGAGGGCGAGAGAGAGAGGGGGGGGGGAGGAGAAAACGGGAGCGGAGTGGTCGATGCATTTATAACACGCACGCACGCACGCACGCACGCACGCACGCACGCACGCACGCACGCACGCACGCACGCACGC